ACAGAATTAAGTAATTTGTTTTTATCCTACTATTAATCCCGGTTATTGGGATTTCATTGGACTGGTTTGGACTTTAAATCCAATCCAGTCCATCCATGATTTGCCAAACACCCCCAAAATATACAATATCAATCAACACAATCTGCAACAGATTTCGGAGTCACAAACTCTCATTGGCCTCATATCAAACACCTGGCGACACAATCCATTCCACACAAACACAAAAACTAACTAAACTATTTAATTCGATTCCTTATTATTATGTATTCAGAAATCCACAGGGTGGTGTATGTAGTATAAGACTGTATATTAATGTGTATCAAGATATAAAAATTGGTGATAGAACTATAAATGAAAGAGTTGAACTGACCGATGATGACTACCGAGAAGCAACGCGACTTTGAAAATCGAGATGAGAAAATCTATGACGGTCTTTGTCAGGAAAATCTAGGTCAGGTAAGAACATGGCGGAGAAATCGATGAAGGATAGGCGTGGCTTCCAGTGTTCGACTTCGCTGCTTGTCCGTACGGTCTCTCTCTGTTTGGAGGGAGACAGAAAACAAATAAAATTGCTTATTGGTCATTTTAAGGGTAAATTACACTGAGACCCCTAAAATTTGTCACTAAATCATACAAGCTCCCTTACGTATGAAAAATAACACAATGCTCGCTTGAGATTTGCTTCCATATAGCTTCCATATAACACCTTGCCCCAAACTGTTATAATTCGTTTGAGAAGTCATCCAACTTTGATGACATCAGCATATTTTAAACACAAAATTCCCAAACTACCCGTACATGGTATACCACTGAAAAACTAAACTATCACAAAAAAACTCAATAATTCTTAAATTTTCTTAAAACCCCAACTCACCCAACCCATTAATTAAACAATTAATCACACTAAATTGGCATCATTTATTTTATTAAGTTCATATAAATAATTGTATTAATTATATTGATTAACCACTAATCAAGTTGGTTAACTTAAAAACAAAAAATAATAATAATTATTATTAACTTCATTGTTTCGTCCAGCTAATTTAAGTCTTGAAAAGTAATTTCTTTTGAGGTGCTATTTGTTTTCTTCTTCCACATACTTTTTAATATATATTTTGATATTTTATATACAACAATATATGAAAGTCTTGTTTGACAATTAGCGGAAAATAAAAAATCCCTCGAGTTTTTACTATTTTAAAATTTGTAATAAACAACATCGGAATGATCCAACATTTAAGTTACTATTTCTATTTTTTGACCTGACTGTATATGTCATTACTCATTTTATTTCTTGGTATAGTTTTTCCCTTTCTTCTTACATGTAACTTGGATCATTTTGTCAGTTGGTTATGTGTTAATTACTTGTAGCATCTTAGACTTCATTATGCAATCAATTCTTGTAAGTACCAGTGTTGTGGTTGATATAGTTTTATAATATTTACAACACTAATGTGTAACATTTTAAATACAAAATTATCTACGTGCAACGCATGTGTGCATCAACTAATTTATATAAATGCCACCATCCATTTTTATTTTTATTTATTTTTTCTCTCTATCAATTAAACAATTAATGGAGTCAAGGGGTAATTATAAAATGATACATGATAATTTTGTATTGGTGGAGGTATTTCATTTTTTAATAAATAAAAATATTAAGAAATCGGGACTTACCTAGAGTAGGTATCTAAATAGATATAGGAAAATACTATGGATTTTAAATTTGAGATCCCAAATAAAATCTCAAATGAGCATGGACTTTTGGATGAATGAGTCCCATAAAAAACTATACGAAATCCACTAATCCGAGGGTTTCTGTGCATTTGAGATTACAAAATAACTGAAATGTGATCGTAGTTTGAGAGTATACACGAGTTAGTGGGAGTATCTTTAAATAATTAAGTTGTTTTGAAATTGATAGATAGTGAGTTTTGATTGGGTATTGGTTAATTAAATAAATCAAATTCTATTAATTAGAAAAGAGAGTGGGAAGTAATCTTAAACCACCTCTCTAATATTAATTTGTTTGTTTATATGAAAATTCTTTTTGAAACTGTTTATATAAGTGTCATTTCCTTTTGTGAAATAGTGTAATATAATATTGNCTCTGTTTGGAGGGAGACAGAAAACAAATAAAATTGCTTATTGGTCATTTTAAGGGTAAATTACACTGAGACCCCTAAAATTTGTCACTAAATCATACAAGCTCCCTTACGTATGAAAAATAACACAATGCTCGCTTGAGATTTGCTTCCATATAGCTTCCATATAACACCTTGCCCCAAACTGTTATAATTCGTTTGAGAAGTCATCCAACTTTGATGACATCAGCATATTTTAAACACAAAATTCCCAAACTACCCGTACATGGTATACCACTGAAAAACTAAACTATCACAAAAAAACTCAATAATTCTTAAATTTTCTTAAAACCCCAACTCACCCAACCCATTAATTAAACAATTAATCACACTAAATTGGCATCATTTATTTTATTAAGTTCATATAAATAATTGTATTAATTATATTGATTAACCACTAATCAAGTTGGTTAACTTAAAAACAAAAAATAATAATAATTATTATTAACTTCATTGTTTCGTCCAGCTAATTTAAGTCTTGAAAAGTAATTTCTTTTGAGGTGCTATTTGTTTTCTTCTTCCACATACTTTTTAATATATATTTTGATATTTTATATACAACAATATATGAAAGTCTTGTTTGACAATTAGCGGAAAATAAAAAATCCCTCGAGTTTTTACTATTTTAAAATTTGTAATAAACAACATCGGAATGATCCAACATTTAAGTTACTATTTCTATTTTTTGACCAGACTGTATATGTCATTACTCATTTTATTTCTTGGTATAGTTTTTCCCTTTCTTCTTACATATAACTTGGATCATTTTGTAAGTTGGTTATGTGTTAATTACTTGTAGCATCTTAGACTTCATCATGCAATCAATTCTTATAAGTACCAGTGTTGTGGTTGATATAGTTTCATAATATTTACAACACTAATATGTAACATTTTAAATACAAAATTATCTACGTGCAACACATGTGTGCATCAACTAATTTATATAAATGCCACCATCCATTTTTATTTTTATTTATTTTTTCTCTCTATCAATTAAACAATTAATGGAGTCAAGGGGTAATTATAAAATGATACATGATAATTTTGTATTGGTGGAGGTATTTCATTTTTTAATAAATAAAAATATTAAGAAATCGGGACTTACCTAGAGTAGGTATCTAAATAGATATAGGAAAATACTATGGATTTTAAATTTGAGATCCCAAATAAAATCTCAAATGAGCATGGACTTTTGGATGAATGAGTCCCATAAAAAACTATACGAAATCCACTAATCCAAGGGTTTCTGTGCATTTGAGATTACAAAATAACTGAAATGTGATCGTAGTTTGAGAGTATACACGAGTTAGTGGGAGTATCTTTAAATAATTAAGTTGTTTTGAAATTGATAGATAGTGAGTTTTGATTGGGTATTGGTTAATTAAATAAATCAAATTCTATTAATTAGAAAAGAGAGTGGGAAGTAATCTTAAACCACCTCTCTAATATTAATTTGTTTGTTTATATGAAAATTCTTTTTGAAACTGTTTATATAAGTGTCATTTCCTTTTGTGAAATAGTGTAATATAATATTGGAAACATAATTACTTTTTTTTGGAAACAAATAGTTGGGACTGACTTATGTTTTTTTTTTTTTGGTAAAATTTTGATTCTTCTCTAACTGATATACGAGAAAACTCCATTCAATTCTCGATAGAGACGGAGATAAAAGATAAGACTTTTACATGTCATGTAACCACTAATCCAACTTATCACACCATTTAATTTCTCATTATTTATCTATTTGTCTAACATTGTACACCATTTATAACATATGACCATCTATCATTTTTTTACCTTCAGANATTTTAAACACAAAATTCCCAAACTACCCGTACATGGTATACCACTGAAAAACTAAACTATCACAAAAAAACTCAATAATTCTTAAATTTTCTTAAAACCCCAANGTATGACCATCTATCATTTTTTTACCTTCAGAGTCAAAATTTAAATGTGGTATATTACATGGGGCGGCCGCTAAAAGGGTATTATGTGAAATGGATATAGAAATTATAAAAAAAAAAAAGTTGTAATATCCTAAAAATCTCATGGTAGTAAATCTCAGTATTTTTTACGATCTACTACCAATTCAATAATTTTAATTAATTAAGTTAACAAATTATGTCTAATAAATTAAGTTCAAATAGTCTTATTATTAATTTACATACCCATTAAAAAAAATGAACTAACTTCAAAGGAGTAATGGAGAAGGTGTATTGACACCGATCATATCAAAAGCTATATGATATCCTTCCCCGTAAATGTCATTCATAATGTAATACACCCCTCAATTATTAATTATTAATCAAACTCATATTCAAGGATCAAAATTTAGTTTCAGTACATAGTTTCGGTGAGTTTGGAAATGAAAACGCTTTAGAAACAAAGATTTTTTTTTTAAATATTCTAAAACATAGGTCGAAACGCACCTAAACACTTCAAAAACATAAGAATTTTGATATTCAATAAATAATTTGGTTCGATTTTCATCAAAACAGAAAGTTTCATACATTTCGAAAATAAAATTGAATTCCTTGCTCACATTCACATTAGAAAAAAAAAATAATAACAGTTCAAATCCTCAAAATGTACCATATGCTGCTATATCCATGTCATTCATAGTGTAGCTTTACAGTTCTAAAATCTTCTTGTTCTGCTATGTTGGTCATTTACACTTACACTTGCAGAAACTTTATTTCAAATTGAACAAAGAATGTCTAGTGATTAACTCTAAGGGTTTGTGACTATTGTGTTTCCAGTCATCTAATATGAGACAGATTATGATGTCAGGTTCTCCAACCAAGCAAAATCTGACAGGTGAGGAAGTATGTATACGAACAACTAATCGCGCAATCATCCCCAAAAACGGTAGACGATGTTACCAAGCGGCCAAATGGGAATATTCAGCATTGCAGGCCCATTGTGGGAGCAGAACATCCATACTGTGTCTGACAGATTCGATGCCTCCAAGTATGACTGTATGCAATCAAAACTCAAATCAAAATGAAGCGTATTGTCTCCAGCGCCTCCAATGATGCACTCCCCGCGCTGCATAGAAGTAAAATACAGAAAAGAAGATTACTCTCAATTTCCAAACAGAACAAGTATGTCACGGTTGGTCAATGCTAGCTAAATCTTGTCAATGTTTTCAGTGGAATGACCAAAACAGTTTCATCGATACAATTTGAGTACAAGTGATTGATGAAGCATCAAGGTAAATTGAGAGACTTTATATACCTCCTTTTCATAGACAACCTCAGTAAGTCTATCAAGTTTAACTTGTGTAGCGGTTACAGATACTTCGATTGGAAGATCATGCAGCATTGAACTATAATACAGACCTGGAATATCATACAGGTGTTAGTAATAGGCTCTATGCCACAAATAAACTAGCAGAAAGCCAAAAGATAACGGAATAACCATTTCATTGATCATTCATATGTTCTTACTGGTCTAGATGTTTTAAAAGAAGCCAAGTTAAAGCTTTGAGCTCACCCTTTGAACTATACCATATAGACATAATCTCATTGATGTTAATCTCTTGCAACTAGTGCATAGGGTCCTCAATTCTGTGTTGTTAACCTAGGGCATACGATTTTCAAGAACGTTATGATTCAATATGTGAGAGCATATTGAAACCAAATTTATGACTCGATATTGAAAGGTGGTGCTGAAAACCAATTTAGAATCGATGCAGGTGGTGCTGAAAACCAATCTAGAATCGATGCAGGTGTTGCTGAAAACAATTCGAGCCAGTCATTTTACTACAAGTATGAAAAGCTCTACATATTTAAGCAGGACATTGGTCATAACTAAAAAAAAATCAAAATGCTCCTACCAACATATGAAAAGATTAGAAAGGACAGAGGGGAAGGACAATTTCGAACTCTTTATGATATACATGTGAATTAAGCATCTCATCTACTCGTGCAATTTAAAAGTAACATCAGCAATTAAATGAAACATGAGCATGAAAACAGTCGATTACCTGGCCCTGNCTCCTACCAACATATGAAAAGATTAGAAAGGACAGAGGGGAAGGAGAATTTCGAGCTCTTTATGATATACATGTGAATTAAGCATCTCATCTACTCGTGCAATTTAAAAGTAACATCAGCAATTAAATGAAACATGAGCATGAAAACAGTCGATTACCTGGCCCTGACTGGGCATAATTGCTCAGAAGTCGTAAGCTATTTCTAAACTTCCATGATGGTATCCCAACAACCACTTCAAATTCGTATTCTGTTATATCCACAATCACTTGGTTTAAAGGGATATCAAACATCATCATCTCCATGTATGAACGCTCATCAAAACCTGAGAAACAATTCTCAAATAAATTTGGGCAGTCACAGCATCTCAATCATTCCAACACAAACATGCAAGAAAAAAGCCCACCAAGACGAAGAAAATTCAACTCAAACAGAAGATGTTGATTGGTCATGTGTACCTAACGAAAAGAAATTACCATAAGAAGCTAATTTACCATCTATGAGCAAATACATCAATACAAAACCAATGTTGCACTGCTTTTTTCATCATTCTTTCCCTTTTGAATTAATTAAACTCGATTTTAATCCACCAGATACCAATAAAATCTCTACACCCCCCCAACACACACACACAAATCATTCAAAACCCATTCAAAACCTTCAAGATTTCATAATATAGGGGGACAAGAAGTCTGTTCTAAAAATCTGAAACAATGTTCAAAGAAGTTTAAATGTTTTATTCTTCGAATTCTGATTCTTCAAGAAAATCGCTTCAAATAATCACACGCGAAAATTGCATTTACTTCACAAAGTTCTTGTAGGGATGTAAGAGAAATAGAATCAAAGTAATTGAAAGGTGCAACCTCATCAAGAAACCAATTCAAACATCATAAACCAAACAATTCATAACACATTTCACAAGAAAATCACATAGTCAAGAAATGAATTTAAAGATACACGACACACGTGGTAAGGGTATACTATACTTAACTGTGCTGAAACAGGAAAGAGATTAGATGGCTGGTGGGTGAACCAGATCCAGTAGTATCCTCAAAGGTGAGACAGATGAAATTGGAATGTTGTTCAGTATTGTAGGTGATAGTGAGAGAATCTTCATCACCAATGGTGGACAGCACAGTGTTCAATTCATTGAGATTAACACCAACCAAGCAATAATATGAATCACAGGAAAAGCCATGGAAACAAGAAGAACCGATTTGGATCGCTGTAACGTCCCAGCCCTTTTCATCTGAAGTCTGCAGCCAGAAACAATCTACTGAGCAATTGAATACGGCTTTGACCCCCAAGTGCACTAGCGGTGACACAGCCCTCCTCAGTAGGTTGACTTTGTTTAGCTTGATCTCGAACATGGTGCCACAGAGAGAGANCAGCCCTCCTCAGTAGGTTGCCTTTGTTTAGCTTGATCTCGAACATGGTGCCACAGAGAGAGAGAGAGAGAGAGAGAGAAAGAAAGAACAATAAGATTTTGAAAGTCTCAGAGTAACTCACTCTGGTATAGTTTGTTTGCTTAAATTACAAAGAGAGGATGTATAGAGAGAGAGAGAGAGAAAGAGTTGGCGGGAAATGGAAGCAGCTCTTCAACTATTTACATAAATGCCACCATTACAAGTTGGCCGATAATAGATATATAGAGATTTAATGACGGGTGCCTTATACTATTGGTAAAATAAAAGGTTACTAAATAAGTAATTACTGGGACATGAATCTCACAATTTACATTGATTCTACATTTTTCATCCTATGTTGGAATTTTTAAAATCATAAAACATATTCCGAGGTTTTTTTCACGACTAAAAATATATAAAAGTCATTAATTTTTGGTTGGAGTATTCAATAATTATAACTTCATAAATAATCCAACAATATATATATACTAGTTATTGCTTGTGCACAGAGTAATAAACAATGATAAATAATAAATATATTTTTATTTATATCCAAAATCAAATCACAAATATAACAAAGAGATAAATGAATTTAAGAATCGGTTTTGTAGTTGGAGAGAGAGGTGGCGGGCGGCAATGGAAGTGGTAGGAGACGGTGATGGTTAAGGTGGGTAACAATGATCTTGGCGGCGGCGACGACGACGGTAGTGGTGACAGCAACGACAAGGGTGGTTGCGGCGGTGGTGG